CCCCCGCCCCCAGCAACTCGGCGCCCAGACTCCTACCAGCCTCCAGGCTCCCCCAGTCAGCCAGTCGCCAGGTCCTGAGAACACAGGCTACTTCCTGCTTCCGGATCCGCCACCCAAGATAGCTGCTACCTGAGGCCTTGGCACCTTGGCAACCAGCCCCACCCTTCCTAGGGGCGGCTAGGCTCCAGGGGGGTGGGGCCTGTGCCCTAACAGGTGTGCTTACAGCTTCCCAACAGGAGCAGGTGCTGCAGGACCCAGGGAGGTAGCCACGGGCCTGTAAGCTTCTTCACTCGGGGATTTTTCACTGTTTTCTCAACAGGCCAGACAGGCAGCCTGGAACACAGTATGGCCTGGGCCTCTGTTGACTTGAGTGAAGAGAGACAGACAGGAGGGAGGGACAGGGAGGGAAAAGTGGTTTCCATTTCCCCTCCACTGGGCAGATGGCATGTGCCTGGCACCATACTAGGAGTCTTTGTAGTCCTTGTCTCCTCTATTCTAATCCTCAGCGTGGTCGTTACAAAAAGATGATTATCCTCTCTCAGATGACCTCTTCCCCTGGAACTTGGAGCCTGGGGCCCCGACCCTGTCCAGAAAGGCAGCTCTCACTCTCCCTTCTTTCAGCGCAGACGTGTCCAGGCCCACCAAGGGCCAGACACTGCTCAGCACTTGAGGTTGGTTGGCCGTAAACCAAGTGGACACAATTTCTTAATTCTTGTGGTGCTTGTGGTCTAGCAGGGGAGAACGTGTCAGCTGATGTCAGGCTCCGCACCTAACACCATCCATTCATTTCCTGATTTGTCCTCAGGGCAAGCCTCAACTGGCATCACTGTCCTTTCCACTCACAGATATGAAAGGTGTGGCCTTGAGAAGCTCAGCGACCAGCTCAAGTCACATACCTAAGGTGCTCCTTCTCTGTCGCTGTGACATACAACCACGCACTTCATGGCTTCAAACCATACAAATTTATTGTCTTAGGGTTCTGGAGATCAGAGTCTATAACAGGTCGGCAGGGCTGTGTTTCTTTTGAAGGCTCTAGAGGACCGTCCGTTCCTTGCCTTTTCTGGCTTTCTAGTGGCCACGCCCACTGGTCATGCCAGTCTCTGCCTCCATGCTCATATATCCTCTGGCCCTGACCCGCCTGACCTCTCTGCTACAAAGACCCCTGTGATTACGTTGGCCCACAGGATAATCCCACCCTCTGAATCCTTAGTCACATCTGCAAAGTCCCTTTTGCTGAGTAAGTTACCATACTCTCTCAAGGGTCCGGGGATTAGGATGGAAACATCTCTGGGGGCCATGATTCTGTCAGCCATCCCCAGAGTGAGCAGAGAAGCCAGAACTGGGGCCCAGGCATTTAGACCCCAGAGCCCTTCCCCACCACATTCTAGGGTCTCCTGTCCTGGGTCCCCTTCTTCCACCCTACCACCCCTCCGTCCTATTCCAGATCTCAGACGGCTGTTGCAGGAGCAGGGGAGTTTTGAAACAACTAGAGTGTTACTGCAGAAGGAAAGGAGGAGGGTGCAGTTTGAGGTAGTTCCTCAAACACGCATGGTGGGGGGGCGGGGGCGGTGCCTGGGTGGCTCAGTCGGTTGAGGATCTGACTCTTGATTTCGGCTCAGGTCACGATCTCACGGTTCATGAGTTCGAGCCCCGAATCAGGCTCTGTGCTGACGGCGTGGGGCCTCCTTCGGATTCTGTCTCCCTCTCTCTCTGCCCCTCCCCCTATTGTGAGTTTGCTCTCTCTCTCTCTCTCTCTAAAAACTAAATAAATCTTAAAAAAGAAGAAAAGTTAAGGGGCATTAAGGAATCTACTCTCGAAATCATTGTTGCACTATATGCTAACTAGCTTGGATGTAAGTTAAAAAAATAAAATTAAAAAATTTTTAAATTTTTTTTAACGTTTATTTATTATTGAGAGACAGGCAGAGCATGAGCATGGGAGGGGCAGAGAGAGGGGGAGACAC